ACCACTGAACAACAGGCTCCTGACTTAGGACAGGTGCATAAAAATGCAGCGGGTTTATATTTTTTTTTTGGCCTTAGCAAAATTTCAAAACTAAAAAACTTAAAGGGGATGTTTTAACCGGATTTTCAAAAGAAAAATCGGTTATTGATTTGGGGATGTACGGCGGGCGGGCCGGCAGGTGGGCAGCTGCCAAACAGTGTCCGTTCATTAACATGAAAACGCTTTGATGAAATTTTATATATGTTGTTTCCTGTGACTAAACGAAGGTCAAGTTCAATTTTCACGATTTTAGCTTTTCTCGTTGTTGAGTTATAGCCCTTTCCCAAGAATTCAATTTTTGATGAAATTCGTATTAATTACTCCATTCTGTTCAAAGGGAAATAACTCATTTTTTAAAAGACATTATATGAATGATAAATGACATTTTGGATTTTTTTTCTTTTCGTTGGTAAATTGTTTGAAGAATTTTGTGGTAGGTTTGTTTGTTATCTGTATAAACTAATTTTCTGAATGCTATATATATAATTTTTTGTTGATGAAGTGAACTCCTTTAATTAGATAATAATCTATTTTTATTAAAGGATATATATTTCATTACATTACATTGTGTATATAAAGTTGTTGACATTGATAGATAAGTTGCAGATCTATATTAGTTTGTGACAAATGAAAGAAAAAATATTTGGAACTATTAATTATATTTGATTATAATTTGAAAATAGATATACATTGTGTAACATCATATCTAATTTAAGAAAATAGTGGTTAAATCAAATCTAATTTTAGAGAACTATGTGTTTATAATTTATTCAGTTTGAGTTATTTCCCTTTGAACAGAAAATTATATGGATACAATAAACTGTGTTTCATTTCAACATAAAATAAATATATATAGGGTTCTTTCAAATGCTGAATCTAAACCTGTATTTAAATATTAGATTTTTGGGCCAAGTTTTCAAATTGGTCCAAATCAGGGTCCAAAAATAAACTTTGTTTGATTCAACAAAAATTGAATTTACGGGGTTCTTCAAAATGCTGAATCTTACCATGTATTGAGTGATTTTGGATTGTGGGCTCCTTTATCAAAATGATCCATATTGAGGTCCAAAGGGTCCTAAATTAAACTTTTGTTTGATTTCATCAAAAATTGAATTCTTGGGGTTCTTTGATGATTCTAACAATGTACTTAGATTTTGGATATTAGACCATAATAGGTAATTGTCCAATTTCAAATTTTTCAGTTCTTTGACCACATTCATTTTGTGTCACAAACCTATGCTGTGTCAAATATTCAATCACAATCCAAATTCAGAGCTGTTTTAAGCTTAAATGTAGTGTCCATACTTGCTCAACTGTTCAGGGTTCGACCTCTGCAGGAAATCCGGATTGCAGTCACTCTGACAGCCTCTTGTAAATTTAATTAAATTCTTCATGTGGTAAAACACTGCTACTAGGAAGTGGCTTTATATAGAATGATATATATAAACAGGATATTACTAATAGTGCAGATTGTTGGAGTGTGATTTACGAGAAGTCTATCTTTCCAAGAAACAAGTCTCTCTGATTAAATATACTTTTAAATCATGAGTTGATTAAATGAAATTGTTTCTATCTGAGGAAATTTGAATTTTAGTTTATCAGAAAACAATAATCTGATTATGCATTTAAGTGCACATTAGACACTAGGAGGGTATATGAATCATTATTTTTTACATTGGAAATTAACAAAATTCGCTTATTTATTATCTTGTTTGTGATTACAGTTGCAGAATTCAAACCATAGGGCTGATAATCTGTGACTAGTCAGCTTTGGTGTAAAAGTATTCAGTTTTTAATCTGCTAGGGATAAGCTTATAAATGTACTGTTATACATGTAAAGTCAGTCATCTTTCTTACAAAACTGTCACATAACAAAATGTCTTTTTAATATCTTTAGTATTGCCATTTTTAGTTATCCTTAATATATTTAATTTACTCCTTATAGTTTTTAATTGGAGAAATTTAAGAAACAGCAGTAGATTGTTAATGTGGAGTTAGAAATATTGAGAAGTAACTCTTAATGAGGAAACATTATAAGTTGATGACAGATCTTTGGTAGTTTCTGGCTAATTTATTCATTGACTTCTAGTTGTCTATCTGGCTTTGTCTGACCTGCAAAGAATGTTTGAGATGTAGGATGCTAATCCTGTGGCGACAGCGTAAGCACAGTGTATAAAAGCTTTATATTTCTGAAGAAAGACGGGATAGATGTTCCATATCATGTATCAGATCCCTAATGATCTGAGGTTTCTGTCTGGCTTTTGTCCATTGTCCTTGACCTCATTTTCATGGTTCATTCATCACATGTTTACTTTTTTTTATATTTAGGTCCATTTCTCAGATATTTCAACCAATGTCAACTATATTTGGTATATAGAATGATACTAAGTTGTACATGTATGTCTGTATACTGTATACCTGACTACAAAATTATTTTCATTTACCTGTGTATAATATTATTGTAAATGGCGGATTTTTGATCAATGTTATTGTTGTTTTTCTGAAATTGTTTAACACTTCACAGTGGAATAATACTGTTACTTTATCATTCATCCCTTATTTTATTGATTTTGTAATTACATTGTATCATAGATCAAATTTATTCGTTCAGTGTATGTTCACTTGTGTTAATATGTCTTTTGATTGAGTTAAGCCATTTCAATTGATATTTTAGAGTGTGTCTTTCTATGTTGTGATGTTACACTATTGTTTCAGATAAGGGTGAAGGTTTGGTACCATTAAAACGTTTAAACCCGCTGCAATTGTTTGCACCTGTCCTAAGTCAGGAATCTGATGTTCAGTAGTTGTCGTTTGTTGATGGTTGATAAGTGTTTCTCGTTTCTCGTTTTTTATATAGATTAGACCGTTGGTTTTCCCTTTTGAATGGTATTACACTAGTTATTTTTGGGGGCCCTTTAAAGCTTGCTGTTCGGTGTGAGCCAAGGCTCCGTGTTGAAGACCGTACATTGACCTATAATGGTTTACTTTTATAAATTGTGACTTGGATGGAGAGTTGTCTCATTGGCACTCATACCACATCTTCTTGTATTTACTTAGAAGATTTACTTGACCTTGACCTCATTTTCATTGTTTATAGGTCAATGTTAAGTTTTTAGTGATTTTTGGTGCAGCTCTCAGATACTTTTAAGTAATATTTTAACTATATAAGGTGTATAGTATAATTGTACTGTTGTATATGTCCATTTTTAGCTCACATTGCTCAAAGGTCGTCATCGTTAACTTTTACAAAAATCTTCTTCTCTGAAACTACTGGGCCAAATTTAACCAAACTTGGCCACAATCATCATTGGGTATCTAGTTTAAAAAATGTGTCTGATGACCCCGCCTGCAAACCAAGATGGCCAACATGGCTAAAAATAGAACATAGGGGTAAAATGCAAGTTATTGTCTATTATTTTGAAATCGGTTATAAGTAGAGAAAATCTGACAGGGCAAAAATGTTCAGAATGTTGAGCTATACCAATTGTCCATGTATGTCAAAACTGTCAGACAAATTCTTATAGAAGTTATTGCCCTTAAATGACAAATTTTATCATTTTTTTTTTCATTTTTGCCAATTATCACGAAAACTATGATAGATAGTGAGAAACTTTAAATTGCAAAAATGATCAGCATGACCATTTCTACAAATAAGTCTAACATGGTCGAAATCATCAGTTGAATCCTTATTAGAATTATTGCCCTTTGATGACGATTTTAACATTTTTTTGCGTTTTTGCCTTATATCTTCAAAATTATAATAGATGGATAGAAACTTAAATAAGCAAAAATGATCAGCAAGACAAGATCTACACTTGAGACCATTTGGAGGAAATCGTACGACGACTTCTTATTAAAGTTATTGCCCTTTAATGACAAGTTTTACCATTTTTTTCTGTTTTGCCGTATATGATTTAAATTATTATAGATAAATAGACACTTTAAATCACAAAAATGATCAGCAAGGCAAGATATACTAACAAGTCCAATTTTGCCGATTTAGTTAGAAGATCATCACCTTTTTAACTCTCTTTTGTATTTTGAGCAAAAACTAAAGAAGATAGAGAGAAACTAAACATACTAAATGATCAGTAATACAAGATCAACAAAACAGAGGTTTTTGTCATGAATTCTATTCTAGTCTACAATGTTGGAGAGTGTCCTTTGTTAAATCTGCACATAGACCAAGGTGAGCGACACAGGCTCTTTAGAGCCTCTAGGTTTACATGACCTGAAGCTTATATATACTGATCACTGATAATGTTTAAATTCTGTTATATGAAAATCAGGAAATGGGGTATGATTGCCATTCAGACAACTGTCCACCAGAGACTAAAAGGACAGAGATGTAAACAAACCATTGGTCAACATACAGCCTTCAACAATGAGCAAGACCCATACCATTTATTAAGCTATAAAAGGCTTCAGCATGTGGAACAATTCAAAATAGAAAATAGTCTGTTTTATGCTAAAAACAAATATGGTAGATAGCAAACAATGAAAACCACTAGTCTATATTACAGGCTCCTGACTTGGGACAAGCACATAAAGAAGGTTAAGTAGTTAAACATATTTGTGAAGGCTCAACCCTCCCCTAACCTTGGACAGTCTTATACATGCTTTAAGACCTTAATCTTAAAGTCTTTCAAGAGAAGATTCAGTCAGAATCAATTAAGCCGGCAAGACCTTCAAGAGTTTTAGTTGTTGGGTTACTATCTGATTGAAGGTACCCCATTACTCCTCTTATTAACAGAAATGTTGAAATTAGATATATAAGCTGTAAAAGCTCTTTATGAACACAAGAAAACAATTATGATCTAAACACAGTACTAATGTATCAGTTATTATTTAAAGGCAAACAGAATATTGAATTTTTTAATGTATGCTGAATTTCTATGGCATATATATGCAAACAACATAATATATGCATGGAGTTATTATCTGTGTATTTTATATTGTAGAGATAAAAAAGATAGTTTTATAATGGTAGACAATTCTCAGGTTGTAGAGGGTAGTTCCCCTGGTAGTTATACAATCTTAAACACCAACCAAAGGCTATATATAGGTAAGTTTATAAAGGCAGACAACTCTTGTTTTAAAGTTGCCTATATAATATTTCACAATCAGATGTCTGGTAAAGGTTAGTTTACAATGGTAGACAACTCTGAGTTTGAGGTCAAAAGCAGGGGAAGGACCAGTGAATTGTGAAAGTCAGGCCAGAAATGCCCTTATTACACATAATAAGCAACATATAAGTTTAGCTTTTGTAAAAGAGGGTAGGGGATAATATGAATTAATCTTTTTTTCTTGCAACTAGAAAATTATGGTACTGTATGTTGAATATGGACGGCAAACTTCTATGTCATTTGGTCTCTGGTGAAGAGTTGTCTCATTGGCCTTCATACCACATCTTCTTATTTTTATATGAAATTGTCCTCACACATGCGAGTTTAACATTAATCGCTAGTAATTATAACCGTACTCTCACCATGAAATACCAGAGAAGAAGAAGTAATTTCAGATCAACTGTTTACACATAGATGTCTACATGCATCAAAATCTGTTCAGGTGGCCTTACATTTCAGGAATGTCATATGTAGTGTGATTATAAATAAAATAAAGGATTTATATCATTCAAACTTATGCACATCAGTAATAAGACCACCACACTTTGTCATAGAACACTGCACAGTTCATTCAGAAATTCTCTAATGAGGTCCTTTAATTGTGACTTATCTCTTACACAATCTATTCAGAAGTTCCCTTGTTAAAACTCCATTATTCCTGTATGTCTACAATGACATTAGACATAATAATGATGAAATTTTTTTGTTTGTAGGTGGAATGCCTGAGGTGTCCCAGAATTCTTTGAATAAGTTCACATCAGGTTTTCATGGTTGTATAAAAGATATGATGTTAGCAGAGGAATATCAGTTTAACCTTGTAGACAAAGCAGAAAGTGGTAGAAATGTTCATTCTTGTCAGTTGCTATCATAGCAGTGAGGATAATTTGGAAGAGAGATTCAAATGAACAGTATGCTTTTAATTTACTGTGTACTGTGTTCCTTGTCAACATTGAAATCATTATATATGCATTGCCTGATACCTAGTCATAATAACAAGATCTTTGTATGAATATAAATTATGTTGTATTATAGTAATTATCTATGACAGTTTAAAATGTAGGTTAATTAGAAATTTTCAGATCTGTACATTTAATTAAATACTGTGAATTGAAATTTCGTGGAAGACGATATTGTAACTTCCTTCTTGTAAACTTTCTAATCATATTTTTTTAAAGATTGCATGAAACATATAAATCATTGTCTTATATTTATACTGTAAATTCAGAAATTATTGCGTGCATTTATTATTGCGATTTTTCAAGAATGGACAAAAATGCGAGTTTTATTATTGCGATTTCGAAAAAAGTGCATACCGGTCTATATTTCAGTTATCAGAATGCGAGTTCTTATTATTGCGATACTCACCCAGTCGCATTATTCGCATTAATAAAAACCTCGCAATAATTTCTGAATTTACAGTATTCTTGGCCAACATTTTGACCTGGATAAGGTATAAACAAATATTCTATTATAGGATACAGGACCTGTTATATTTAGAAATAGACTTAGCATTGTTCATTGAAATAATAATAATATCTTTTTTTATACTGGGTTAAGGATACAGTTTTGGTGCAATAGGGCAGAGTAATTTATAGTAGATTTTTTATATATTTATATTACTTAAGATTTTTAAGCTTTAAAAATTAATCACACTATGCATAAACATAATTAGGGTAAATATATTTTTAATATTTGAGATATTTCACCCTCTAATCAAACTCTAAAATCCAATGGCTTTGTGTGCTTCCTAATTATTTAGTAGAAGCTTTAAAACATCTGTTTGATAAAAGTTATAGCCCTTGAGACTGAAATCTGATTTAAAATGTCAATATGCTGTGTTTAAATAAATGTTTTGTCTATCTGCAAAAAAGGCTTGACTTAGATGTAGTTATTGATTCTGTATGTTAAATCTGAGAGTTTATTCATTTCAGAATGACCATTGATATAGGTTACGCTGTTTTACATAAGTTAATATTTTATACAGTATCTTACCTATATGAGTACAACTCAGTGACTTTAGAGTTGGAGTGTTAAATTGTTTTAAATGCAAATTCTTACACCAGCTTTCTTAGAATACAAACCAACATTTCTATGTGACATGACATTATAAGGGGTGAGTAAAAACTTATTCCTACCTGTTGTCTTTCATTAGCTATCGAAAATTATATAAATCTCCCAAAACACGGAAAAAGGGTCATCATATACCTAAAAGGAAGAGACTAGTATTTGTAAAAACTGTCAATTCAGGATACTGTTTCCAGCTCTTAGGAATGCTACAGCAAATTAAACAAGATTTCACATTTATCACCCTAACACCTGCCACGTTTTTTTTATTTATAAATCAGACAGAATTAGTGTCTATTGTTTTAACTATTTTTATATTTTAGGAAGAAGGCAGTTGCTCAATTTCAATAATCTTCCAAATTAATTCAGTTGAACTGTATAATTCCATTTAAATACAGAGTCAGAAATTGAAAGATATGACTATTTTTCAACCATTTTGTAGGGTACATCATTAGAATGAAGTACAGTGTTGGGGCCATTATACAGTTTTCCTGCAACGCAGGCAAGACCAGTCTTGTTTAACATATGAAGTGCATAATAAGGAAATATGCTTTAAAAGCATTACCTCATAAATGTTATATATGATTTTAATGTGAATGTAATTTGTTCAATATATGCAACTACCCGTAATTAAAACTATAAACATGTGGATTTCTTGATCCGGTTCATTGGCTTTCAATGTCTGGATCACCAGAAATTTATCAGTGCATTCAATTAAAGAATTATACAAGTAAAGTTGAAGGACATACATATTGAAGTAACTTTACATTACTTCATTACATTCAGCGGCCCATGCAAAATTTGAATTCACTAAAAATATAAATGTCTCTGCTATCTTTACACAGTATTTAAACTCGTAAGTATAAAAGAGAGGTGTTTCAATATTCCAGTGTAATGCAGCTTTCCTTTGTATGATTGTGAAAATTTGCTTTTGCAGTATTTAAACTTGCAGTACATTAGTTATTAAATACTTTAGAATACTTTTTGTCCTGTAAGCAGCACTTAGGAATTTGCTTATACTGACTGGATCTCTGCTTTTATTGTAAATGATATGTCAGTAAGCTCAATAGAACTTTGATTTATATTGGTTTATGTAGATCTGAACATTATTTAAGTCTATACAACTACAAAAGGGGTTCTACACTCAGTTGAGTCATCTAAAAAAATTGAAAAGTGCACTAAATCTAGTGATGTATGACGGATCTATGACAAACATCAACTGTTTACCCTTGATGCACTGCTGCTTCCTTCACTCATAAAACTCATCACCATAAAAAAAAAGAAAATGTTAAAAGATAAACCCTTTTAGAAACAAACAACAGAGACCAGTATTTTATTATTTTGCACTGAACATTTAAAACATTGAATGAGTAGAGACCTGGAGATCTTCCTACACAAATTCATTGGGATGTATGTTTATTTACCCAGAATAGTTAAATTGAGCATGCATACTCTCTCTGATTTAAAAATGTACTTGTACTCAATTTGATTTGTAAAATTTTTTTTTACCATTAGGTCTTATACCCCTTTGAAGAACCCATAAGTTTATAATTAAGCATCTAGCTGTCTGAGTGCAGATTTTATTTGCATAAATTTTAAATGTAGACATTAAATGTATAAGATTTTGTGAAACATTCCAGTATAAAGCAGCTTGCCTTTGGATGGTTGTGAGAACTTGCTTTTACAGTATTTGGTTGTGATATATATTAATTTTTATGATATTTTTTCACTGTTTATGTAGTTAGAACAAACATGTTCTTCATATTTGAAGCTGTGTTTTCCTGATAAATATATTTTACTGGATTCCCAAAACGGTCCTTTCCACTTAACTACTGTAGTTACCGGAACTATCAAACTGGTCAGCCACAACAACTTGAGAACTTTATTTCAATTTGAGAGAAAAAGACAGTATATACACCATGAACTGCTACCTCTATTGGGAGATTGGTCTTAATATGTGTGAAATATCTGCCACTGACATAAATATGCCATAATAAGTTAAATTAAGTGTTAAGTGTATTTTGATTTAAGATGTTTATGCAGCAGGATATTGTAGCTTTACTGTTTATGGTTGTGATAATATTTTCTATGTTATTTACCTATGTATGGTTGTGCTTATCATGTTACTCCAATCTTATATTGTTGTTGGTGATTAATTGAATCAGTTTACTTATATGATTGAATGATTTTTGTAAAGAATAATAAAAAATGTGAAGGCTATTTTAGTTTTTAATGTGAAATGTAAAGTAAGACTGTTATCATTCACCTTGCATTGTCAATGTGTCATCGTCTTAAATAAAAGTTGACCCGAAATCACATTTAGTGAGTATAGTTTTAGAATAATATCCAATGATGAAAAGGTTAATAGTTCCAAAATAGCATGCATTTATGCCAATAACAAAACAATATTTTTACATTTTTATAGATAGAATAAAGGAATAAAATAGGCAAAATAATAGTTTTCTATTTCCATCACTAATAATATTTAGCTGACTTCTAGTATATTATAATGTAGGTTAAGGTTCATGCGGACCCTTTGGCTAAAATAGCTGCATTTTCACCTCAACATTTACTCATGAGTACACCCAAACCTGTGTATCTGGAAATTTTTTAAGGCATAGCATGCCTTAGATAAATAAAATTCAAATATGTTTTATGTTTTAGAAAATTAAAAACTTAACAGGATTTTGCAGTGCACTTTTTTCATTCCTCAAGAAAGTGCCAAAATAAACTAAGTTGGTAAAGAGGTTTTGAGAACTTCCCCACAGGTAATAATTGAAGTGAACTGTATTGATTGACATGGACAATAGATACCTGACAATAATTGGTGATTTAAACTGTGTACCTGTGTGGACCATATCAAGTGAAATTTAACTGTTTGTTAATTTTATCACCTTATGCAGGGACGAAAAAAGTGCACTGCAAAATCCAGTTAAATTTAAAATTTTCTAAAACATACAATGCATTTGAATTTTATTTATCTAGGGCATGCTATGCCTTAAAACTTTTTCAGATGCACAGGGTTGTCTGTACTCAGAGTAAATTTTGAGGTGAAAACGCAGCCTTTTAAGCCAAAGGGTCCACATGAACCTTAAGGTTTGTTCAAGTTTACCTACCATTGGTCATTAGACAGAGACAATTTTATAAAATTTACATGTTTTTTTATGCTTTTTAACCCTTATCTTACTTAGCTATTATTTGGTATATGAATTGGTACAGAGTTATTTCCAGTTTTATTCTATTGACAAACTTTTGATCAAATTACCTCCCTTGGACTTAGAAACTGTGTTTAAAATGAATTTTTACCTTTTCTTGAGAATATAGCCAAAAGATTAACTTCAATGATATGATTTAATGAATGGGACAGTGGCTGACCTATTTTTTGAAGATCTGCATCAAGGTTGAATATTTATGCTTATGTATTTTTATTTAAATATTCAAAATAACTCAGGGATTATAAAAATAGGAAATTTGTTTTTAAAACTCGTTTTGAAACTACATTAAATTAATTTATTTTTGCACTACACACACATGAGTATATTTTGGTAAGTCATGGTATAAATTGTTGACATTTCTAACTCCAAGGAATGTAATTGTATATGATATTAATTTTTATAACTTTATGAATATATTCTTAAAAGCAGAAATAATTATTTATTTAGTGTTTAAAATATTCATATGGATACATAGACTAAACAAATATAAAATTGTATACAATAAAGTAGTGGATATAGATTCCACTAATTTTATCTTTGAACTAGTTTATAGACATAACATACTGAAACCTAAACATGAATGAAAGTTGTTTTTCTATAAGAATGAATATAAAGCAAGTTAAAATGTTTTCATAATAATAAAATAGTTCTTTTGTCTCCTTCTATTAGCTTGTTTTATTTTAATGTCAATATTTAGGACAAAGGAAAGTTTTCAAAAAGTCCTATATCATAGTGGTTTTTAGATAATCAGTCACGCGTTAATATTTGACATGTTAAGTTGTCCTGTTTTTTAAACCTATAATCAAACAGATGTTTTATTTTTATACATACTTTAATATTTTAATAATTAGCAGCATTTCAAAATCAATAACCTTCTTAGGGATTGTCTGTGAAATTTTAAATCTCAAGCTGTAATTTAGAACATGTTACTGTTTATCTGAAAGTATTATATAAGTAATACTGCTAAAATACTTACAACTAAATAGTAACATGTTCTAAATTAGAGCTTGAGATTAAAGATTTCATAGACAATCCATTATTCTAAACACAAGTAATTATGATACAGTGCATGGTTTAGTCTACTTACATATTGAACTGACCATGATATAAACCATTGATCAAGATTAAGCTTCTTTAAATCAAGGCATATTAAAATGTGGAAGTACTTCTTGTCTAAAAATGTGCTGTCTTGTATCTTAAAATTCATTTAAACAGAAACGATATGATAAATAATTGATACTTCCCACCCCACCCCCATCAACAAATTGAGAAATGTTTTAGTGGTGTTTCTCCTGGTTCTTATCCAGTCTTGTAAAGGACATAATTTTATTTATCTTTGACACTTGCTTATAAAATTTGGCATGAAGCTGTGTACTAAGTTTCAGGTTGATTGGACTTCAACTTCATCAAAAACTACCTTGACCAAAAACTTTAACCTGAAGCGGGACGAACGGACGGACAGAAGGATGGACTGACAAACGGACAAATGAACAGATGCATAGACCGAAAAACATAATTCCCTAGGTGGGGTATAAAATGGTTCAGATCCCCACCCCTTAATCATATATAGTTTTTAATTGCCTTGATAAGACACTTTCTAGTTTACTATAGGTTTTGTTCCTGTGGTACATACCCTACCCCATGCATATCATTGATTGTTAAATATCTTGAAAATTGTTCATATCCGTAACTGTATATATTCTTAATGTCATAACAATACCTTCATATTACACCATAGATCTTTTCTCTAGGGGTCATGCACTGGACATTAAGCAACCAACAATCAATCAATCTAGGGGTCGTGCCCTCTCCCTTTTTATCATTGATTGTTGAATTTATTACAAACTTTCTAAATCCCTACCCTTAAACCATATACAGTGGAACCTAGTTGTGTCAAACTCAGTTGTTTCTAAGCTCAGATAAATTGAGATAAAATTCCTGATTGTCTTTGCTGTATATAACTATGAATATAGAATAACCCTGATGTGTTGAAGTTCAAAGTTAAAAAAATTGAAGGAAAAAAAAAACAAATTTTAGCTAGAGTATGAGTTAGTTTATGTATAACATTGGATGTTTCGATAACATAAAAAATCCGACTTCTATAGTATAGTAGATGGCCAGATGTATAATTGTTGGATCCTTACTTTTTTTTTCTTACTATTGTCATGCAGATATCAAGATTTATTAAGCTTTCATTACGTCACCTTTTTCAAACCATGAAAACAGATATTCACTATTAATTGTAGTTAGGATTTTGTGCTTACTTAAATATTCTGGAAAATCTGATAGATTAATGCTAGAAAGTATTGTTATATCATATTAATAAAACTTAACAGTAACAAAGAAACAGAGACATAACAATTACAATTGTGATACACAGTTAAATATAATAGAATGTTGACTGATTCAAAGGTTCAGCAGACCATTCAATGAGGATTTAATCATTACTGAGTAAACTGGATACTACCTGTTAAATTGGAAAAGTACTGGACATAACAGTTGTAGGATTAAATACTTGAAATTTTCCATTAATAAATATTTATATCAGAGGAAAATGAGTGATGTATACTGGTTTATTTAAAACATAGTTTACAATTGAAATGTGAAAACATTTGTTATATAATGTAATATCTATCCATGCAGATTCCATTGAACACTCGTGACTATGTATAGGTAGCAATAAGTATTTGTCAACTATATTTTATTTCACATACTATTTAATAGCAAACAAGGCTGTTTTAGATGTTTATTCAGTAAAGTATATAATACAAAATAAGTCAGAACTTCAGTGAAATATTTTTAGTGTATGGTTTTACCTAAACATAGATGTTGTTAGTCCTTTATGTAACTTGTTTGAAACAGGGACAGTCAGAACTGGTTTCTTGTTGTTAGTCCTGTATGTAACTGTTTGAAGCAGGGACAGTCAGAACTGGTTTCTTGTTGTTAGTCCTTTATGTAACTGTTTGAAGCAGGGACAGTCAGAACTGGTTTCTTGTTGTTAGTCCTTTATGTAACTGTTGTTTGAAGCAGGGACAGTCGGAACTGGTTTCTTGTTTCATTTAGACCTTAGAGTTGCCGGTCAAAGAATTATTTTTTTTGTTATATTTGCTTCTACATGTATAACCATAGAATTTTTTAAGTCTGTTAATATTGTCTTTTTTATAGCTAGTATTATCAAAATTTTGTTTTCTAAATGTTTTTGCTTATATATGTTTTAATAAAAACTTGCTGAATATTCTTTGTGTTATCTTCTTCAGTGACATACTAATGTATTTTCTATAGTATAGATAGGACATTTAGCTATCAACAATCAATCAATCTACATTATATATATATATACATCTAATTGTATTTAACCCATTGAGTTAGTTAATAAGAATGGTTACCTCATTTTAGAAATAAAAACTTTTGATTCTGAGATAAAGCATAGCACTCCAGTGATTTGCCCCTAATATAGTACACTGGTTATCTTCATACTTCTGATTTTATCAGTATGTTATACTCAAGTTACATAATGACCAGTTAATAGTCCTTGTAGAATTGTTAAAAAGTACACACCAAAATGTAGTAAAGCCATGGTGTTGTTGCTTGATTTTACTTCCAAAACAGCTGCTCCAATAGAAATATGTATGTCTAAATATGTGATAACTCTATGACTTTCTGATAACATTTACTTCATATGAAATTTAGTAACGAAAACTGTACTTTATTTATATAATGATAAGAATATGTGGTATAATTTCCAATGAGACAACTCTCTACCAGAGACCAGATGTTTAGTTAGTCTTGTGGTCTAAGGCAGAGGGCACAGTGCAGGCTAGGTTGCCACAATGTCACAGAAGCAATGATTCTAATCTAGCTAAGAAAGAACAAAAAATTTGCTTGCACAAATTTGAGATCTTAAGCTTCCATGGGTTGGCTTATTTTTTTATTTTACCATGGGAAAGTCCTTTATTTTTTGGAAATTTCACAAAAATTGGCCAACTGATGGTTAAATCTCCAGGAACCAAGGGCTACCTATTATTTATTCTCTTCATATTCACCTTCCTGTTTCTACATACTGCTTCATTTCTATACCCAGCCAAAATATGGAAAAATGGACAAAACAAGTACCTTTCTCTATTCAATGAACAAAATGGGTAAACAGCTCCCTTTCTCGTACACAATAAAAAAAAATGGGTAAACCATTCTCTTTCTCTTACATGAGGAAAATGGACAGAGTGCAAACATTTACAACACAAGAGTGCAAACGCTGAATTGTCTCGCCTGCTTTACTTTAATGATTGAATTTATGTTGAAAGTGTGTAAAATGAAGATTTTACTATAAGTTTCAAATAAAATTAATATTTTTAATGATCAATGTAAATGAGGTCAAGGTCAGATGAACCCTGCCAGACAGACATGTACACCTTACAATCATACATACACCAAACATATTTAACCTATTGCTTATGGTATCCGAGAAACAGACCTTATAACGAAAATTGAACATTGACCAATAAACCATGAAAATGAGGTCAAGGTCAGATAAACCATGCCAGACAATATGTACACCATGCTAACATTCCATTCATCAATATAGTTGACCTATTGCTTACAGCATCTGAAAAACAAACATAACCATGAAAACTTTACATTGACTAATGAATTATGAAAATGAGGTCAAGGTCACATAAACACTACCAGACAGACATGTACACCTTACAATCCTTCCATACACCACATATAGTTGACCTATCGCTTACAGTACTGGATAGACAAGCAAAACCACGAAAACTGAACATTGACCAATGAATCATGAAAGTGAAGTCAAGGTTAGATGAATCCTGCCAGACGGGCATATACACGTTACAATCATTCTATACACCAAGTATTGTTGAACTGTTGCTTATAGTATTTTACAATTAGACCAAATCAAGCAAAATCAACATTGACTAATGAACCATGAAAATGAGGTCAAGGTCAGTAAAACGTGCAGTCGGACATGTAAACACGTTGCAGTCATTCAATACATCAAATATAGATGGCCTATTACTTCTAGTATCTGAGATATGGACTTGACCACGTAAACTTAACCTTGATCACTGATTCATGCAATGAGGTCGAGGTCAGGTGAACCTTGTCTGACGGACATGTAGACCCTTCCAAGGAACCCATATCCCAAATATAGTTATCATGTTAAGTGAGAAATTAACATTAACACATCAAGTAGACGCTGAACCATGAAAATGAGGTCAAGGACAATGGACACATGACATACTTAAACTTCTAAACATTAGTATTTATATGCAAGGTATGAAGCATCAAGGTCTGAAATACAAAGCTTTAAACAAAAAGTTTACGCCGCTGGATTGCAATCCTTATGTCTCACATTCTGCGACTTTCGTCGCAGGCGAGACAATAAGTTTGGAAGAGATTTAACAGAATGTGAAAGCCATATACAAAACAAATTGTATGGATAACTGTGTTAGTGTACATTAACACAAGCCTGAGGCAAGTGTCGCTTGTCTCATTAGCAGTTTATTTCTCCATATAGAAGCTGGACTCAGACTGTGCACACATATTTGTCAAACATTTAAACCCAATAGCAGATGGCATTTTTTTTAAAGAACTGTGAAACATAACTTAAAAGAATGAAGCTAGATAATTATATAGAGTTTACATAGCATACATGAATTAAAATCCCTTTAAAGTTCTAATACTCTTAAATAGTAAGACCAAAACATGTCAATAAATCTTTTCGAACCCGGCAAGGATTTTTATAGTAGGATTATATTGCAATTAAAATTCTTGAAACATCATGAGGTGATGAAAAAACTTATGTAAGCAAAAACACCCGAGTTCTGTTCTGCATAAAAACAATTACATGCAAACATTGTTTCCGCCCATGAGAGACCATGAAATGGACAGGAAGATGGGTACCGTAAAGTACAGCGACACAATGTAAATGATTTTTAATCGTGCCGTTTAGAACTGTATACATGTCGGTGATATTGTTTTACCTGAACGGATATTTTGAGTTAAAGGTACCGGGTATATTATTCACTATTCTAGAAGGTTTAAAGTTGTAGTGTTCATTCTTCTCCCATGAAGATAGGGCAGTTCTGTAGATAGGTGTTTTTATGAACAATAGAAGTGCACTTTGTTTCTCTCCTTTGTCGTCACAAAAAAATTGCAAGCATTTTGACAACAAATAAGAATTGCCCCAAATTACGTGTTTTGAGAATATATTTCTAGACTAGATCATCAAAAATTTAATTGGTAACTTGCAGTGTCAATACCAAGACGTTTAACAGTGATTTTTGCGTGTTGTATCATATGATTATCATCCAGATTTGGATAGAGGGTTTCTGTCCAGAGTTTTCTTTAAACACTTGGAATTTGTCGGGGTTTGACTGCATTTTATTGCGTAAAAAAATCCATCACAAACTCTGAATGAAAACATTAGTTTACTGCTCCATTTTGACAAATATTGCGGAATAACTGGTAAAAAAAACCTTTCCATTTTACAAATTGTGCGCCATTCACATTTCTATGTAAACTGCAGCTATACACAACCCCACACTTTCTAAGCATACTGTTCGAACAAACGCTTGTATAATTTGATTATTTATTATTTTGAATTTAACAATAGAAACCTATATTAGGGTCCAGTTTTTATGATATTTGGCAAGACTACATACTAAAGATATCAATCCCCTATTAAAGGAATCATTTGAATGATGTAAGATGTTAGATGCGCACAATATATATTCACAGTATATATATGTCAAAGATATTTTCCCTAAAGAGACGGAGGATTCCAATAAGTTGTCTTTATGCAAAACTATAAAGGAAGTCGTATCTCTAAAACAAGTAATTAAGGTAGGGATGTCTAACCATTATGAAAACCTTTGTAAAAATAATATTGAAAACCTTTTTCTCTACAAGGAACTCAAAATAGATACAGGAAGAGTGTTTTACTTATCACATTCAAAATCTGAATTTCGTAAACTTATAACGAAATTTAGAATATGTGATCATAATTGGAACTTGAATTTGGTATATATAAAAAAAAAGTACTTCGAAATCTTAGACTATGTAATTGTTGCTCTAGTAATGATTAGATGATGAATTTCATTTCTGCTTCCATTGCGAAATAAATGAATACGTAAGAATCAATTATGTATCTGAAATTGTTTCAAGGCTTAAAATACTACCCGTCTTTAAAGGTACAGTATTATGACATACAGTTGTCCGTCCGTCCGTCGTCAACACTTCGGACAATAACTCAAAAACGCTTTTATCAATTTTCATGAAAATTTGGTGAATTGTTTATATCTGTTGGTGTAAGGTCCTTTCGATTTTTATAAATATTAGATTTTACGTTTCCGAGTTAGGCCTATATGGGATTTTATTCATAAAAAATGGTGGATTTTCCAGTTTTCTGACTATAAATAAAAATTTGGACAATTTCCATGAAACATTAATGAATTGTTTATATATACTGACATAAGTTCCCTTTCGATTTTTTAAAATTTCTGATGTTACGTTTTGGAGTATTGGGACTTTTTTCATAAAAAAGGGTGATTTTCCAGTTTTCGGACAATAACTCAAAAACTCTTTTCGCAGTTTTCATAAACGCTTTAGGCAGTTTAAATGAAACTTTGGTGACTTATTGATATCTATTGAAATAAGCTCCTTTTTTTTTCTTTTTTTTTTTATAAATTTCTGATATGACATTTGGGAGTTATGGAACTTTATTCGTTGCAAAATCATGTATATGCCTTGATTGATATTGAATATACTTGGGTTACATTGTCACCGGAAGGTGTATTGTCAACAAGATAGAAATGTAAAGATGAAAAATTAAGGCCACAAACTTAGTTAAACTTGAGATAGCCTTAATAGTGCAAAATTATTATCCGTGTTTTGTGTCAATAGATACCACTGTGTGTGCATGTCGGTTTTTATTTTTATTTTTTTTGGGGGGGGGAGGGGGAGGGGGAGGGGGAGGGGGAGGGGGAGGGGGAGGGGGATCTATTTGAGCAGTGCTCATAGTATTTCTAGTTGATCATACACATTCATTTACAGCATATAAACGAGCTTAAAGGGCGACGGACGTATCATGCACTCATGGCCCAACTCTTTATTCTAATTTCACTTACAAATAAAGCTGCAATATATAATATCGAATCCAGCAATTTTTCAACAGGTTCAAAGTCTATATTACTTTTTAAAACAGGTCTATGGAAC